AATATGTTTCTGTGATCCTGAAAAACAATTAATATTAAATAAACAACTTAATAATACATTCTTTTATAACTTTTTTAGTGGATTTTTATATGGTGACCACCTTGGGGACACTTTTTTAAAAGTCGAATTTTAAACTTTTTTTAAAAAGTGCCATAACCTTTTTTTTAATTAATGAAATGAAATAAACTTTATGATAGGAAGATAGGTAATAAGATAAAGTTTCAAACGCCGTATTATTGACCTTTATATATAATTTCATTTGAAATCTACAGTCGTTCAAAAGATGGGTGACGACCTTACAGTCCGGGAGCTAGCGACCAAAACAACTATCTCATTTCATACCGGCTGAAAATTTGGGTATAGATTACTGAAGACATGTAAATAACAGAAACCCACGTCTGGCAGGCCGATGCTGGGGTGGGGGGTGGCGGCGGGGGTCCGAATAGGTGAAAAATAATGTACAATTTTCTCATTTCATATCGATTAAAACCTTCATAACTCGAAAGTTTACACCCACACGAGTGTAAAAATGTGCGTCTGGCAGTTCTGGGGTGGGGCAAAGTACGTCTGGCAAAGGGTTAAACACGTAAAAGAATCGAAAATTTTTTCTGATTTCATACCGATTAAAACCTTTAGAAATCAAAAGTTTACATTCAAACAAGTGTAAAAATGTGCGTCTGGCAGTTCTGGGGTAGGGCAAAGTACGTCTGGCAGCCCTTCAAAGATGCGGCAAATAGGTCAAGCGGTGAAAAATAATGTAAATTTTTCTCATTTCATACTGATTAAAACCTTCATAACTCGAAAGTTTACATCTATACGAGTGTAAAAATGTACGTCTGGTAGTTCCGGGGTGGGGCAAAGTTCGCCTGGCTAATAGTTAAATACGTAAAAAATCGAAAATTTTTTTCTCATTTCATACTGATTAAAACCTTTAGAAATCGAAAGTTTACATTCAGTCAAGTGTAAAAATACACGTCTGGATGTCGTGGGGTGGGGCAAAGTACGTCTGGCAGCCCTTCAAAGATGCGGCAAATAGGTCAAGCGGTGAAAAATAATGTAAATTTTTCTCATTTCATACTGATTAAAACCTTCATAACTCGAAAGTTTACATCTATACGAGTGTAAAAATGTACGTCTGGCAGTTCCGGGGTGGGGCAAAGTTCGCCTGGCAAATAGTTAAATACGTAAAAAATCGAAATTTTTTTCTCATTTCATACTGATTAAAACCTTTAGAAATCGAAAGTTTACATTCAGTCAAGTGTAAAAATACACGTCTGGATGTCGTGGGGTGGGGCAAAGTACGTCTGGCAGCCCTTCGAAGATGCGGCAAATAGGTCAAGCGGTGAAAAATAATGTAAATTTTTCTCATTTCATACTGATTAAAACCTTCATAACTCGAAAGTTTACATCTATACGAGTGTAAAAATGTACGTCTGGCAGTTCCGGGGTGGGGCAAAGTTCGCCTGGCAAATAGTTAAATACGTAAAAAATCGAAAATTTTTTTCTCATTTCATACTGATTAAAACCTTTAGAAATCGAAAGTTTACATTCAGTCAAGTGTAAAAATACACGTCTGGATGTCGTGGGGTGGGGCAAAGTACGTCTGGCAGCCCTTCAAAGATGTAGATTTTTACATTTGTTTAAATGTAAACTTTCGATATTTCATGGTTTTAATCGGTATGAAATGAGATTAAATTTTATGATTTTTTATGTAATTAATCACATCACGTCTTTGCACGACGTACTTTGCCCCACCCCAGAACTGCCAGACGCACATTTTTACACTCGTGTAGGTGTAAACTTTCGAGTTATGAAGGTTTTAATCGGTATGAAATGAGAAAATTTTACATTATTTTTCATCAATTCGCCCCCCTGCCCCAGCACCGGCCTGCCAGACGTGGGTTTCTGTTATTTACATGTCTTCAGTACTCTATATTCAAATTTTCAGCCGGTATGAAATGAGATAGTTGTTTTGGTCGCTAGCTCCTGCACTATTAGGGCCCTCTCCCCTACTTAATTCCTGTATACTAACAGAGAAAAAAAACCCCACACGTTGGGAGTTGAACGTACGACCCTAATATTCGTAAACCGATAACCTAACCACGCTCGCTCGGTACGATGCGTTGCATGATACTTCAGGTCATTCTTGTCATCATAAGTCATATTAAATATTCCATTAAAAAATTTCTCAAAATAATAAAACTGAGGTCAGTAACATTTTCGTTGACGCAAAATGAGAAAAGAATTTTTTTAAAGGTCAAGATACAAATATTTTCTGATAAAAATAACATAATTGTTCTTTTCATTACATTCTACATGATTCTTTATCCGATCGGTGAGGAAAAGTCAATTATTATTTAAAAATTGAAGTTTTTATCTCATTTCGTTGACGTAAATGTTGGAAACTTTAGTTTCATTCATCAAAATGTGATTGTAACAGAAGTTAACAAATCCGTGAACGGTTTTAAAAATTTAACTTGAAAAATATACTACCGTCGGGAATTATCGGTACGGCTGCACGCGCACGGCCCAAAAACATACTAATCTTTAAATCACGATATTTTTGTAAATACAAATGTCAGAAACTTAACAAATATACCGTTCGAAAGATTATTAAATTCTACGATTAATGATACATAACTAAACATTTTAATAATTTATACAAAGATTGCAGCAATAGACAAATTTGACAAACAAATTTTTAAAATAAAATTTTTTTGGAAATTTTTTTAACCCCTACACATTTTTTAAAAATTGTAGAAAAAATTTGAAACTTATATAGGTGTGAACATTCAAGTCTCATCTTTAACCCGTTGACTGTCGCTGACGCATATATATGCGCAAAACTAAACTGGCCAAAAGTGGTTCATGACGCATATATGCGCAACTTAAAAAAAGTGATTAAAAACTTCTTAAATGTTCCTGAAACCGGTTACTCGGAGGTTTTCGAGGTCGCTGATTACGAATATGACATTCGTTTTTCAAAATTCAAAATGGCGGATCCAATATGGCGGACAACAAAATAAAAAATTGATCAGATTGACTTAAAAGGTAGTACTTGGGGGTTTTTGGGGTCGCTGATTACGAATCTGACATCAGTTTTTCGAAATTCAAAATGGCGGATCCAAGATGGCGGAAATTTTTTCAAAATTCGTCGAATTTGCTTGAAACTTGTTACTCGGCGGTTTTAAGGGTCGCTGATTATGAATCTAACATTAGTTTTCCAAAATTCAAAATGGCGGATCCAATATGGCCGACGACAAAATAAAAAATTAATTATAATGGCTTGAAACTGAATACTCGGGGGTTTTTAGGGTCGCTGATTACGAATCTGACATTAGTTTTTCAGGGTATTTAACGAAATTTATTTTCACCAAAAATTATCATACTGATGTCAGATTAACCAGTTTCAAACAAATTCAATAAATTTTGAAAAATTTTCCGCCATATTGAACCAGATATTTTGAATTTTGAAAAACTGATTTCAGATTCGTAAGCAGCGACCCTGAAAATCCCCAAGTATTCAGTTTGAAGCCAATCTGATCAATTTTTTATTTCGTTGTCCGCCATATTGGATCCGCCATTTTGAATTTTGGAAAATTAATGTTAGATTCGTAATCAGCGACCCTTAAAACCCCCGAGTAACAAGTTTCAAGCAAATTCGACGAATTTTGAAAAAATTTCCGCCATCTTGGATCCGCCATTTTGAATTTCGAAAAACTGATGTCAGATTCGTAATCAGCGACCCCAGAAACCTTAGGGTACCAAGTTTCATAAAAATCCATTAAAAATTTTTTCAACACACTTTTGGCCCAAACAGTGGAAATCTCGTTGCCAGCCAAGGGGTTAAAGATGAGAATTGAATGATCACACTTATGTAAGTTTCAAAGTTTTTCTACAATTTTTAAAAAATGTGGAGGGGTTGAAAAAATTTCCAAAAAAATTTTATTTTTTAAATTTTTTTGTCAAATTTGTTAATTGCTGCAATCTTTGTATAAATTATTAAAATTTTCAGTTATGTACCATTAGAGTAGAGGGGGGTAATGTAGTGCACTGGCTTTACTGACTAAACGAATGAATTGAATTACTTGCCGTTGGTATGGTAGGGTTAAGGTATCAAATTATAGTAATGTATATCATTTTGGCTTTATTGTGCTTTTTCTAAAAGAAGTTGTGGCGTCACTTCAAAAACACTAGATTTCGAAATCATATTTCCGTTTTTTGTAGTTACTTGAAAAAAATCTAAGGCTTGTTAAAAAAGTATCAGGGGGCCGTGCGTGTGCAGCCGTACCGTTAATTCCCGACGGTAGTGCATATTGTAATGAAAATTTTAATTGAGTTAATTAACTGAAGCTTAAATCTCAAAACTATATGAAAAATTTTTAAAATTGTCGAGAAAAAATATTTGAGATTATTAATTTACAAAATGTGGCACCTTTTCTAGCACGCGAAAAATAAATGTTCCGTTTAATATATCAGGACAATGAGAAAGTAGATTCATAACGTGCGAAACAGCAAAAATGCAACGTAATAGTGCGTATTAAAGTGTTAGTACTATATAGGTTTGTGGTAGGTTGATTGGTCTAAACAAATATGTTCATGTGTAGTTATATGTACATGTAGGAAGAAGGAGAAATTGAAAATTTTTTTATTTTTCATTTTCCGCGAATGTAGATGAAACCTTAGAACACTGTAGAGTAAATTCAGGTTCGCAATTTTCTTCAACTGTCGCGGAATCGAGCAACGCGCGCATAGAGTTTTTATTTTCTTCGACTGCCGCGAAAAGTTTAGAACACTTTTTTAAATTTTTTTCAAATGTAGTCTATTTCTTCGATAACTGGTAATATCCGAGAGTCTTTCTACAAAGTCGAGGAAACTTTCAGTGATTAATTTTTCCCGTGTATTATATCCAGGTTGTCATACGTCAGTAAAATTAAGAAAAAATCAGGGTAAATATGTGGGTGACAACTCTTGCCGTTGGCACTGTCTCAAAAAGTTCGCACCCTTCTTTTTTTTAAATAACAGAAAATATTAAATTAAAAATGTTGCGAATTTTAATAATCATATGCAAAACTTACTATTATAAACTGTTACAATTATTCTATTTAAAATAATTTAATTATTTCTTTTTGATTAAAAGGTTACCCCAAAGATTGCAAGAATTTGTCAATTATATACTATTATAATGCGCGTGAATGACAAGGTATAATTAAACATAATTTTTTATAATAACCCCATTAGTCCCCATGCGAACAAAAAACAAATTATAGAAAAAAATAAATATTTGAATCAGAAATTTCATGATTTATATAATATAAACTTTGGTAGTAGAGTTGAACAGGGTGAGGCAGCCAATTGCTTCTTATTTCTAAATAATGTAGTTTGTTTACACTACCGTCCGTGATTATCAGGACGCCCCTTTTTTCATGAGTGGAAAAATGCTTAAAACGTAGAAAATAAGAATGACAAAAATTTTTCGTATTTTTTTCCTGAAAGCTAATGAAATTATGAAAAGACTGACACCCGATCGAAGAATTTTCGTTGACTATTCTGTCAGATACAGAAAAAATACTGGATTTTGCATGCTTTTCGTAATTTTTTAATTTCTCGAAAACTAATTAACTTTGATTAGCGCTCTTGGTCTTGTTTTAATCTCTATTTAATGTAGAATCTGAATTATTAACTGGTATTGTGAAATAAATTTTTCCAAAAAAATTTGAAACTGTAAAAGTAGGATTAAAAAAATTCAAAAAATTATCATGAATATTAAAGTGTCAAAAAGGTCAATGTAAAATATGTTCATTTAATAGATATACTAAAATTTAAAAAAGCTTTTTAATTACATAATTATTTAATTTAAAAAAACTTTTTTTGTTGAAAAAGTGTCAATGTGTTTTTCAACATTTTTTTATCCGACTTTCACAGTTTCAAATTTTTTTGGAAAAATTTATATCACAATTCCATTAATTAATTTAGATTCTGCATTGAATAGAGATTGAAACAAGACCAAGAACGCTAAAAAAAGTTTATTACACTGAAAAACTGTTGGTAGAGCAGTTACGCTATTGACTGTTGTGCAGCGCTATTTGACTTTAAACTCACAGCTCTATCAAAATTAGGCGAGTTGCTCTCCTAAACTTGACTACCAATGGCGCTGGCGAGCGGCTGCTTGACAAAAAGATCAGCAGCTCTATCAAAAAGGAGAGTTGCTCGCCTAAAAAGGAGAGTAACTCGCCCAAAAATAAAGCGAACATCTCTACCAACAGTTTTTCAGTGTAGTTTTCGAGAAATTTTTAAGTGCAACCTACGTCAAAATGTTCTATGGCAATTTTTTAGCCAAAAAGACAAACTTTCTAACGCGATATTAAAATTGAAAAAACCTATTTAAATAACTGCCTCGCAAACCAAAATGTGCCGGCTTGGCTGCCTCGCCCCGTTCTCTTCTATAGTATATGATATAGATATAGTATCTAAGTAAGATGGAAGAAATATCTTCATCACTGCTAAAACGTATAAAACATTTTAAATATCAGTAAGATGCTTTAGAAAACATCTTATCCCAGTAAAAAAAAGTTTTAAGTGGAGCCGTTAGGAATTGGCAGTAACTCTGAGCCACTATTGAAATTTCTCGGTAGACATTATTGGACTAACGATGGACCGTTTTTCTATAGTCTCGGCATTTTGCACTTGAGATCCAAATTTAAATTTTTTCTATATTTGCTTTGCTATTCACATGGGTGTTAATGGATTAATTAAGAATCAGCTTTTCTTTTAACTTTCTTATTATATGATTTCTTTGCAGAGTGTTGGGGCAGTATTTATATTAATGACGAAGAGAACTGCAGCTTTGTATACTGCTGTTTTAAGAAAACTGCAAATGCTCTGTCCGAATTTAAAATATGGTTTAAAACACGTTATGGTTGATTTTGAAGATGCAATAAAGTTGAGCATTAAAAGATTATTTCCAAATTGCAAAGTCCATGGGTGTTGGTTTCATTCCAAAAAGGTAATATTATTACCTTAGGGCTCCTAATGTCAATAGCACTTTATAATTCCTTTATCCAATCTAATCTCAGTTAAACATTTATGAATATCATTTTCTATTTTGACAACTGGATTTTTTCCACTTTTACACGGAGAGACCCACATTTGTAAAAATTACTAAAAATGGTTGCAATGACCGGAAATAAGGGGACTTTTAGCATAATGTACTACAGAATCTGGCAAATGAAAACATTTTCCACTAAAACCTACTATCCACTGCACTGTAGTAATTTTTGGTGAGCAAGTGTGGCTAGCGAGTGCAGTCATATGGCGCCTGTATTTCTATTGGTTGATAACTTCGTCAATCTCCGTAAATGAGCCGATGCCATCCGACCATTGACAGTGACTATGTTTCGCGTATGTAAAATAAATTTGGATATTATCTACAATAATTAAATATAAAGTGAAACGTAGGTCGTTCGTTATCTCAGAAATTGACCATTATAAATTAATAAATTTTGCATTTATTCCTGTCCCAAGAACTATGTCTTATAATAAGTTGTTAAAAGTAAACTGCTTTCTCGTAAGTGCTGTAAATTTTCATCATTCAATATATAAGGAAACAAAGATGTATGCTTTCAGTGAAATTCGTTGTCGTGCGTGCAGTTGTGTATTAGTGTATTAATTAACCGCGTCTATACATATAAGTGAAATATACATGTGTGTGTCTTCAAATATTTATCCAACAAATATATAATGTGTGTGTCTGTGTATGTAAAAATCCTTCCAGTTTACCTCCATTAGTCAAGAATTGACGGGAAACCGGCGACAAAAATCCGTATTTTTTCTTTCACTCTTTCTTTCTGCATTTACAAACGACTGTAGTAATTTTACGTACACAATACTTCTGAGTTTACTACAGTTGTTTGGAACTATTGGACGAAATAGTAAGATACTTTGCTAATTTGGTGAACATTTGTCGGAATTAGTGACTTAGTGTAGAAAATAGTAAAAAATACAAAAAGTTCCCTTATTTCCGGTGGTTGCAATGTGAAAATAGTAAATTCTAGTGTGATTTTATACAAAAATTAGTAATATCGGTCTCTCCGTGTAGGGTAAATGCACTAGTAGTCGGACACTTAAGGATACAGTCTTAAATTATGTTTTTTTTCTTGAAAAAGCAAATATCTACTGTGTTTATAAGCACATTATTAATTAAAGGAGTTCTTCAGGATTAAAAATCATATAAATTTGTTACAAATAGTTGATTATTTAATAAAATATAAACATTTTAATAAAAAATTACGAATGCTTTAGTAGTCGGACACTTTTTCCCCTTGTTTCTATAGTCGGACATCTGTCAGATATTTTGAATTTATAAAAAGAAAAAGATCATTTTTTAATTGCTATCTGCTGGAAAATGGAATTAAAGCATATTAGAAGTTATTAATATAATATTTAAACCCTATACGTTTTAATATTTATGATTAATTATCAACAAAACTTTGTGCCACTCATCGCGCTACTCGAAAATGGTTGTATCTATAGTCGGACACCATGATTTTTAAAACATTAAATAAAATATTTCTTGTTTAATTATTTTCGAAAATAACACTATTTTAATAAAATATAAACTTCACACATTCGTTTTGTATACTTTTTAAAGTAATTATCACAATGCATTATTATTTATTTGCCAAAAAACACGAAAGTGTCCGACTACTAGTACTGTCCGACTATACCCGCACTTACCCTATATTCGTTAACTCTAGTGTTGCTGCAAGTTTAGTCTTAAATATTATCAACATTTTTTCAATTAACAAGGATTCCATAGGTCAGAGTCATGTCAAAAATCTATAAATTCATGTTTATATATTTTTTTAAATTCGTACTCGTCATTGATTATATATACGTAGAATACAAAAAAACGTTGTGCACAACATTTGTATTGGTCATTAAGCATAATTAATGCTCTGGATCTTAAAAGAGCACTTTCACCATTTAAAATCAATGCTGTAAGTATTAAGATTAAGATCCGGAGCCTCAATTGTGATTCCATGTTTTTATAGGCTATTAAGAAGAAATGGAAAAATTTAGGTCTGCGAGATGCCGATAAATTATTCTTAAACATGGCGTGTTGTCTTGCTTTGGCGCCTTCTGGTCATTATTTTAGAGGCATCAAAGTACTGAAGAATAAAGTGAATGAATATGATAGAAGATTCCACAAAAAAAATGTTCAAATTCCTTAGGTATTTAGTAGCTTATTGGGGACGAAGAAAAGAAATTCTTTGTATTGGTGACCGACCTCACCGAACAAATAATCTCTGTGAATCTTTGAACAGCCGATTAAAGGAAAAATTAGGGGGCTTGCATCCAGGAATTTGGAAGTTTATAGGTGTGTTTAGATTTTTTATATTATTATTAATGCAAACATAATTTCCACTTATTTTTTTAAGGATACTTTATGTTATAAAATTTTGATGAAAAACAAAATTATATAAACGTACTAGCTGCCGGATCTAAACAGAAACTATTAGTTTCTGCTAATATATTTGATAGGGTGTTTAGCAACTAGGAAATAGCCGAGAATGAAATTTTACTGGGAAAAACTAATAATTAGTTACCATTAACTATTTCTTTAGGAAAATATTACTATTTGAATCAATGACAGATTTTTTTCTATCAAATTTGTTATTCAAGAACAGTATTTGTCAACTTGTAGTACTTTATACGTTTGTCTGCAATTAATGTATTGAAAATTAATCCTAAATTTACACCAGCTTTTGGAGTCAAAGTAGAGTCTAATTCGAAATAATTGTATCGCAATTAGACCCTACGTTACGACTGTCATAAACCTAAATAAAATCTATATGTTTGAGCTGAAAGTAGAGCCTAAATTTTAACTCGGGTCTGTATACATAAATATTACATCAATAAAAATTAATGTAAAAAGCAGTTTTTAAGAATAAATTAATTGAATAAAACTTTTTTAATTAGGTAAGAAAGTTCCCGGTTTTTCCTAGTCAAATTAAATTCCCGGCTATTTCTCGGTTTACCCGCGCAATTGGTAGACACAAGTTTAAAAACAATTTATTAAAAAATGTAAACTTTGAAAATTTGTAATTTTTAAAATTTTTTGAAAACATTTTTATACTTAAATCTTACTTATAGCACACTATTTTTTACAAAATTATGCTAAAATGTGACTAAATAATAACATGTAATACTTAATTGCAGATAGTTTAAAAGCAATTCATTAAAAAAATCTAAAATTTGGAAATTTGCGATTTTTTGAAATCATTTTTATACTTACATCTTCGTTATAGGACAGTATTTTTGGAAAAATTATGCTAAAATTTAACTAAAAAACATGTTATACTGAATTATAGAAAGTTTAAAAGCAGTTTTTAAAAAAATTTAAATTTGAAAATTTTGATTTTTTAATTATTTAAAAAAATTGAATATCTCCCGTTCTAATTAATATTTTTTAAATCTGTAAATTTATAAACCTTCCTTGGCTCAAGGTCTAACATTCTGCCAAATCTGGTTTCAAAGGGTTCAGCCGTTTCTATGTGATGCGCGAACAAAGATTCTGTGACATACATACATACATACACCAAATTTTTTATTGGTATATTTGGAATCCTTGATGCTCAAAACGAATAATTATGTGCGAAATTTAAAGATCTGAGCAATGTACAAACAAAAGTCTGATTTTATATATATATAGAAGATAGATATTGTAAAAATGTTTTTGTGGTAATTGTAAAAGTTCTTTGTAAATATTGTTACATAATACTCTAATCATTATTAACTCTTCTCTTATTCGTTTAATTTGTCTACACTGGACATGTACCATATTGCATATTGTATCTGTCAATACTCTTGAATTTATGATAACGAATATTAAATTTGTAATCAGCTGCCGATAAGATTTAAGTAAATTTATTTATTTAATTTAAACAAAAGTTTCTAACAATTGGCAGAATTTTTAAATTTTTGCACGTCATATTAGATCCACTATTCTTGATTCTGAAAAAGAAATTCAGCGATTCCAAAAATCCCCGAATGACACTATTTCATCCAATTGACTCAAGTTTTTAATTTTTTCGTCCGCCATATCAGATTCACCAATTTTAATTTTTAAAAGCTAATATCAAATTTGTAATCAGCGACTTTGAGAACTTCCGAGTAACAAAATTTAGACGAATTCATAACATTTTAGTGATTTGAAAAATAGTTATCAAGACTTTCAAATTTTACTTCATATTTGACACCAATATTTGCTTCAAAATCTTGAAATTTATATAAATAAAAATGTTTTTGTGTTATTTGACATTAAAACCGCCATATTTAATTTTAGTTCAATCAAAATATATTTTTGACACTGGAATCGATAAGAACACACAAAAAGACCTATATAGGAAACATACTTCTGGTACAAAATATAAACCTGTTTATTCATAAAATCATAGGTTGAAATTGTTCAAATAATTTACTACTTTTGGGCAAATATGATTTCGTGGACAGATTTGAATGAAATGAATCATAATATAAGACATAAGTTAAATAATATCTTTGGTGACTTATTGAATTAAGAAAAGTAGTAAAATTTACTAAAAAAATTTTTCAGTGTAGGTCTTTTATCTTTAATTCATTCAAATCCTATTACTTTTGTTCATTATTTTAGATTATAGAGTAGTATATATATATGAAACATTATTTTAAAGAAATGTCTGTAACATTGGAGGTTACTAAAAATAGTATATTGTAATTTTTATTATTTAAGAATATTTTTCTTAATTATAAATATGAAAATGATTAATATTTTTTTATAGTTTTATTGGAAAAAACAATTGCTCTTGAGGAAATAAGATTGGTTGATTTAAAGAATGGAAAGTTTCTTGGTGTCCCAATGAGCAGAAAAGATAGAAATCGCAACAGAATTATATTTAATGCCACTCAAGAATTTCAACATGGAGGGTAGGTGTACAATAACTTGACACACTCGAAATATACCTTTTGCTTAAAATTGGAAAATGTGTTGGAAAGATAATCTATTGCAAACACATTTCTTAATTTTTTTGTCAAAAAATTTTATCTTTCTTTTCTAGAAATATATCTCACAAAAGTTTAAACATTTCTTGACAGATATCTAAACATCTTTCTAGAAGACTGCGCTAACATTTAAAAGTTTATTCATCAGGAATGGTGTTCATAGTGTTTTCAATGGTTTTTAAATTATAATTATTGTTTATAAACAAAAAGTATAAAAGTATATGTGTTAATAGTTTCCTACAATTTATTGCATTTCTTTGTTATGTTATATATCCAACATGTATCATTTTTTTAAACCTTCTTTTAAAAAATCAGTTTTAATTTTGTCACCATAATGATATTGTCATCAAAATTATATTGTCTATAAAATACAATTAATAAATCTATAAAAATTTAAAAAATATGTTTCTATATAAAAAGATATCCCTACTCCCTTCTTTACATTACAAAAAAATATCACCGCCGTCGCCGCTTCTTCCAAATTTTGTTGGCCCCCTTATCCTACTTTTCATTATAATCCTGTTTCATCTTTTATCATGATCTATCCTCCTTTCCCACTCATAAAATCGTTTTTTATCTCACATGCACAAAAAGGCGCTTTCTGATAGCCGACAACATGGAGAAAAGTCATTTATTTCTTTGACTGTATGAAAATGGCGGCCGTGTTCTCCCATGGGCAAGAAAATCAGCTGTTCCCATGTGTTTTTCTTGCCCATGCGAGAAAACGGCCGCCAATTCCATTTACAAGTCGAACAAGTGAATGACTTTTACTCCCTGTCGTCTGCTATCTGAAATAGATAGGGGAGACTAGGTGCGGTTGTTACAAATGGAATATTTTAGAAACAGTTAGTTATAGAGATGGCCCAGTGTGCACGTTCCGGAACAATTGTGGAACCGTTATGTAACAGTTCTTTATTTCCATTAACTGTTACAGAACAGTTCCAGAACGTGCACACTGGGGGGGTTCCAAAGAGAAAAATGTTTAGTTTTTATGTACCAACTTACTGCAATATGTTTAAAAATTATATGCAATCTTCACAAGTAAAAAAATAGGCACATTGGTTTTTAGAGGCCAAAAGTAAATATTTCTCTGCCTGATATTTTTTATATAATTAATAGACCTTTATATTTAACAAAGTAAATTTTTTAATATGATTTCTATGAAGATTAAGCTTTAAGAAACTGCCTTGGTTGACCACATTTAGAGTATACTTTTTTAATAAAGTTTTTTATTGTAAAAAATGTACCTGTTTTGCAGTTGTTACAAGTGATAATGAGAACGGATATTTTTTCCAAAATTCAGCAGATTCGTTTGAAATGTAAAATATTTTTAAAAAATGTAATCACACTCATTTTTTATGAAAAATCTCATGGTTTTTCTAAATTCGTCTTCAAAATTAATGAAAAAAAACTTTTTTAAGTTTCTTTCATTTCGAAACAATATTAATGCTGCCATATCTATGGAACTGTCACGTACTATTACGTGGGGGCCATTCAAGTATTACGTAAGCATATTTTTCGGGTTTTAGACCCCCCCTACACCATCGTAAGATTTTTTATATGCATTAGCGACATTTTTTCTAATGGAAATAAGCAATAGCTAGACCCCCCTCCCCCTTAAATGCTTACGTAATACGCTTACGTAATATAAAAAGTTGTTATAAGAAATTATTTGTCTTCAATTTAAAAATGTTATAGATGATTCTTGGTATTGTAACAACCGACATTCACTTTGTGCAGTTGTTACAATTTACAAGATGTCACTCAAATGGTTCTAGTTAATTAAATAATAGATATAGAGCTAAATCTATTATGGCCTTTTAAAACTAGATAATATACCTTTGAATTAATCGTTTGACCAGACCAAAGAAATTGGAGTTAAACTCTAAGCACAGTAACTGTTTTTATCAAAATTGTAACAACTGCACCTTGTCTCTTCTACTTTTGTGTATTAGGAATAAAAAATATCGTAAGTAACACGAGAATAAAGGCGCCCTCGACCTCCACTCGTGTCACAAAAATCACCGTAAATAAATAGCCTTTATTTTTTTGTTGCTTAATATTCTATGAAAATGACGGCGACAGCGGTGATCGATGACTTAATGACAGTTGTAATATAATTAATAATCGTTAGAAAATTTGGTAAATTAATTAATAAACAATCAATAATGTCAGTAAAATAGTCCTAAACTCATACTAAAATACTATGTGTTACGAATTGAATTTAAGTAAAGAATAAAATAAGGAAATTATTTTACTTTTAGTTTAAATTTTCTCAAGATAACTAATAATGCTCTTCAGCAAATGAAAATATTTGAAACGTAGGGGACTTTTCCTCTCTCATAATTATTTATCTCAATTGTGTGGATATAATGCCAAATTAATAAAAATAGAAATTTGGATTAAGTTAATATTTAATGAATGTTTTTTTATTTGTTTTGATGATAAGGTTGAATAAAAATCAATGCAGAAAATCATAAAATGTACATATATTACTATGACTTATTACTTTTCAAATACAATACATATGTTCTTTTAAAAAATTTAAATTTCAGTATTGATAAAGTGGATATTTTTTTTTAGAAAAATCTTATAAAATCAACATATGAAAATTCATGTATGCTTTGAAAATTATTTTGTATGTGTAGGTGTAATGTGAAAATTCTCTACTCACTTTTAATCGTTTTGTTTTTCCTTTTTTTTATTTTAAAATCGCAGCAATTGTCCTTCTCTTATTTGTTTGTTTTCAAACTTGGTATTCGTTGAAATGAAAATAATCTCAATTTTATATTTATTTTCTTTTGCACAATAAATAGGGACTACACCCTTTGATTCACAAATAACTCACAAAAATATCAAGTCAATACGACTAAAAAAATATATCGTTCAGGTAACTTTGCCTGAATTAAACTGCCCAACTTAGTTACGCCAAGTTTACGCGGGCAACTGCCCAGATTTCTCCTTGTCAATTCTTTTTATTGATTGACAATTATGTGGGGAAATCCTCAATGCAGTTTATTCTGACAGCTTGCAGAATTTGGTACTTGCAAAATTAATAAAATTGAACCACTTCGTTATTGTGCAATAATTGAAGTTAACCTTACCTTGCAATATTAAAATAAAGAAAATTGTAATTGCTTAATTCTTTGTGCTAAATACCCGATTAAAAGTAGATTGTTAAGAATTTGCTTAATGTTGGAAATTATGAGTATTGCCAATTAATATGTGTTTTTGTATAATAATGTTGAATGTGTTTTTAGGTTAAAAAATGATTAAATGGATTTTATAGAATTCAAATAAAATCCGTTGTTTGTATTGAAATATAAAGGTTACGAAGTCATACGTAACACTATGAAAAATTTTTAAAATTGTCGAGAAAAAATATTTGAGATTTTTAAATTACAAAATATGGCACCTTTTCTCGCAAGCGATAAATAAATGTTACGTTTAATATATAAGGACGAAGAGAAAGTAAATACATGACGTACGAAACAGCAAAAATGTAGTTGTATGTACATGTAGGAAGAAGGAGAAATTGAGAATTTTTTTTATTTTTCATTGCTTGGACGGATTTTGTATTTTCCGCGACTGTCGATGAAACATTTGAACTCTGTAGAGTAAATTCAGGTTCCCAATTTTCCTCGACTGTCGCCGAATCGATAACGCGCGCATAGTTTTCATTTTCCTAGACTGTCGCAGAAAGTTTAGAACACTTTTTCTAAATCTTCAAATCGAGGTTCATTTTTGTTGCAGCTCATAATGAGTCACTTTTTCGACTTATATTGAGTTCAGTTTTTCTTTGTGATGTAGTCTATTTCTTCGATAATTGGTAATATAACTTGTAATACAGTTTAAACTATATCTGAAAATCTTCTACGAAATCGACGAAAATTTCAGCGATTAATTTTTTCCGTTTAAGAACTTTAACATCACATTTTTTACAAAAGTTTTCCCTCGTATAGATCTGCATGTGATCTTGCACAGGAAAGGTTTTATTTCCATCCTTGAAGAAACATGTAGATCCTATTAAGAACCATTATATTTTTCTTATAATAATATTTTCTAATCCTTCTTTCTATCCTACATAGGTTTCTTCAAAGGATGTCAAGAAAAGTATGATCTCATGTAGGTCCATACGAGGAAAAATTTTTGTGGAAAACCTAATGTTAAGGTTCCCACACAAAAACTGACGAGGAACAATGTTTATTATAGCACTCTATACATAACGGTCCCATACTTCAAAAGGAAGTTTAAGTGAGATCACTTCCAAGCTTGCGTGGCTATGCGGTATGTGTATTCGACTTGCGTCCTCGAGGTCTAGGGTTCGATCCCCCGTGCGTGTGCAATATTTTTCCGTCTTAGTTTTAAGTGTTTAGTGTATAATTCTTAATAGTGTTACATAAAATATAGATTTAAATAATCATTAATAAAGATAATAATGATTTAGTCACTAATTTATATAAATAAAATAATCTGTTTAAATTAATAATGAAAGAAAATAAGAAAAATATGTTTTTATAAATTTAAAAAAAAGCAATTCTATTAATTATTTACATTTTTATTGATACTCATAATAGTACATTTCGTAACAAGTGTGAACTGATAATATATAATATATAATCGCGCATTTCTTAATACACAAAGCCCCTGGATGTGGCGTCGGGGGGCCAAGCCCCCCGAATCCTAGTCGTGTAATTGGACGTATTAATAAAAATAATATGAATGTTATGAAAAAATAAAATTTTATGTTTTTAAATTATAATTTTCAAACTTTATTTATTATTAAAATTAAATATAATTCCTTTTTACAAGAATTTTTTAATGTTTAATTAAAGCTTTATTGTTTGGTAACATTAATTGGCAAGTCAGTCTTCATCTTAATATTCCACATAAAAATTTTTAAAACTTAAATTTTACTTTAATACTGTAAACAAAAAATGTTACTTATTACAAGTAATAGTAACATTGGTACAATAATTTTTATACAACTCAGGCGTATTATGGTCACTTTATCTACCTGTACAGGTGCCTACTAAGTTCCCCCTTATAACCCAGCAGTCAATAAAGAAACCATTATAGCCCTAGGGAGATAAAGGGTATATTATTGACCGCTCACAGGTCAATAAAGTACCCTTTATCTCCCTAGGGCAATAATGGATACTTTATTGACCAGCTGGGTTATATGGGAGAACTTAGCATGTACCGGTACAGGTAACATAGAGTAACCATAATACGCCTTTGTTGTATAAAGCAAAGTAT